CCTTGCCTCTTAGAGGGTTAATAATGTCATGTGACTCCATTTTATTCCCTTATCGTCATTTTTACCAAGTTTTGGAAAGATTTTAAATAAATAACGAAAGCAAACTCTATATAAACGAGAATTTTTAAATAAAGATTAGTTGAAAAAGGTAAAAAGAATAGAAACAACTGTCGAGCTTTTCCGAATAGCTAGTTACACCATTACACGAGGTTAACTAGTTACGCCACTACATGAAGAGTTTTGATTTAAGGGGGTCTGTATCATCCCGAATGCTGAATAAATAGATGCTGGACTAGCCGCAACTTGTGGTGCAATTCAAATACCTGTTTTTAATTGTTTAGAAGGCAACACTTTCACGATTTGTATTTTCCATGTATTTTATACTCTATGCAGTAAGAATGCAGCTCCGTATGTAGAGACATTTGTTTTTATCTCCGTATGTATAGACAGCTTTTATCTCTCCTGTTTCATATTTTTGAAGCAGAAGAGATAAAAACTGGGCAATGACCTCGCCGAGATTCGAACCACGGACCTCTCGAATACGCGTTGAATGTGCTAACCACCACACCACGAAGGCACGCTAAGGAGGCGGGAGAAATACCTCATATACTCTCTCTTTTAAAGGGCGACTGGGGTTTAGGGGACCCAGTCGCGAAATCCTGGTGGGGAAGAACCATCATTCACCACCTTTTTAGTTTTGGCGCCACTGTAGAGACATTAGGATATTTCGTAGCAAGAGGGATGAAAAATTAACAATGCCCTCACCGGGACTCAAACCACGAACCTCTCGAAATACGCGCCGAGTGTGCTGACCACTACACCACGAAGGCATGCTAAAAAGGCAGGAGAAATACCTTATAAGTATCCTTTCGATCAGAAATTCATTAGTTGGGAAAAACTGGAGAGTTGTGCTGTTCTGATGTATTTCTAATTTGTAAAATTTGCAGGAATTTTGTAAAGTATTTTTTCAAATGTATTGTCCTTATTTCCGTAAAATTTTCTCGTCTCTTTTGATATTTTAGAGCAGGTTTCTTCCGATCTTTTAGAAACACGTGATTCTAGGAATCAAGCATCAGTATGGTAAAGCTCCATACAATAAAAGCATGATTATGCTTTGGTTTTATTACGTACTGAAAAACATTTTATTCGAAATGAAATCTATGTAATAATATAGATTTAAATTCTTGTTATGGATATAAAACACAGCTGATAAAGATTTATGTGACTAAATATTACTGATGGAATTTTAATGAAATGCCTTAATGTGAATGAAATTTTGTTGTTAATTTCACGAGAGGAAAAAGTATTTTTTTTAAATTATATGGGTAAAATAAAAAGTAATGTTCAATTTCTGATATAATATTTGAGTATATAATGTAATATGATATAATATATAATTTGAATGATAAATTAGATGTATTATATGAGAAATGGTATAAAATATTTTCATGAAAGTACCTTTGTTATGATTTTAAATTTGTGATATTTTTTTATTTTAAAGTATAAAATAATATTTTACTTATTTTTCATACTTTAAATTTTAGAATTATTAATGAAGTTTTATTCACAACCTTTATAAGGGATCTGTAAAGATAAATTTTTAATTAAATTTACATTTAGGGATATATTCTAGGAGGAGAAAAGCCACTAATTTTGTTAAAGAGTTTTTTAAAATGTCCCCTAACAACAAAAACGTTGAAAGCTGTAAAAAAGAAATGATCATCCCCAGCCTTCCCGACGTTTATTACATCAGTACTGCTGTGTAGACTTTGCAGATTTTCGCTATGGATCAAACGAAGAGCTTTCTAATTTTTTTGGTTAGTTGTTCAAAATGATTTCAGAATATTTTAAGATGCCAGATATACCACCTGACATCATTTGTCCCATAACTGTAGTGATGAGGTGTTGGAATTTTGGATAAACTCCATGGCTAAGACAACGTGGCCAGAAAGTTGAATGCCACACGCTTCTATAATACGAGTATGATGACTGCACATGTGCAATCAAGTAGCTCTTTCCTCTTAATTAACTGAGATTTCTTAGAAGATTTCTCCTCGCCTCCAGACTGCTGCTGAAATATAATGGGAAGGTGAATTTTTAATTTGGGAGATCTTCATCTCCCAGTGGAACATAAAATTAGAAAACTCAATCTCAATGATGGTGCTGAACAAATAGTAATTTGGGTGGAACCTTTCTAACTAGTAAATATACGCCTTTATAAATGAATTAACTATAGGTTTGTAATAGTTAGCAATGTAAGTTTAAAATTCCGTTATCTGCTATACGTAGCATTAATGTTTAATAATTTTCAGATTTTTAATGCTTAAGTTTCATTTTTTGCTTCTTCAATAAAAATTTATCAATTAATTCAGATATATGATTTATTAGAGGTAAAAAATATTACTTACTAAACATTATTCAAAAATTAACTGAACTTTTTTATATTCAGAAAATGGAAATCTGTGATGATGATATCATGCTATCATTTGTGGAGATTTTATATTTTATCACAAAATTTAATAGTACGATGTTTCAAAGCTGCAAAAATTTTACAATGCTCTCTTTTCACGATGTTTTAAAACCGAGATATTTTCTCCTTGTTTTTTTCTTCCATGATGTTTGACGTTTTCTCCTTAAGTTGTTTTCTCCTTGAAAGGTTTTCCCATGATGTTTACGGCGGACACCAGTTTGAACAGAACACTTTTAAGAAGCCAGTGGCAGAATAAAATGGTGTAAGACCCTCGGATTCTGTCTTTCGAGGTGTTGTTTATCATAATTTAGAGCACACTTTTGCCTCGTACGTTTTGCCTTTAAAATATTTGGCATTTTATATGCAATTATATTTATGTTTCTGATCGTGTTTAAATCATATTAGCAACCCTTATATCACATTTCATTTATAAGCTATCAAAAGGAAGCTAATTATTAATAATAAGTCGGTAATATTTCAGATACAATGTATCAAAAAGAATTACAAACTATAAAGATAAAAGAAAGATAATACGTCTTTTAAATATTCAGTAAAACGTCACCAGTTTAGTTTTCATTTCGAATAAAAAGATTTAACACATAACTCATAAGACCGACACATTCTTGGTACATTTCTCATAACCTCCGGCACATTCTTGGTACCGTGTTGAATCCCCTGGTGGATCCCTCGTTATGATCTGTGGCAGATGCACCTAGACAGCACTCTCCCGCTTTCTTAGTGGCCATCTAAGATGCCTTGCCTACCAGAATGGCCTAAACACCCACCCGATTTGTCCGAAATGTAACAATGAGTGGGCTTCTCCGGCACATATTCTTAAATGTCTGGGTTTGTCCTACGACGACTTATAAAGTTTCCCATGCTAGTCTATAACTTTTTGAAGTTGAATAAACTCGGGGATCTCGTCTAGCAGAAGCTGGACTCGAAGATTAGGAACAACAACAGATTTAACAGATTACATTAGAAGAAGCCGACAAGTGAACCCAGTACTTTAAACCACGACAACATACTTCCATTCCCTTCGTGGTAGTTAAGACTGCATAATATTTTCTTTCTTTTCCTGAAGTGTGATATTGTTGCGTGCATATGGATTAATAATGAATTGAATGCATACAGAGTGGATGATAACTTGATAAACAAATTTATATTACATTTCAACTACTAAGAATGTTAAACACAATAACAAGCGCATCGAAAAAGCGAAGATGGCATGGAGATACCTCATTTAGTCCGTCAACTTTAAACTAAAAACATTATTTCTTTAAAAATAACACATAGATACAAGGTTTGGTGTCAACATCAGTTTATTTGTGTTACCATATATCTTCTTATGTTCACTATATTATTTCCTTAAAAATAATACATGACGATAACATTGTAGAGACATGAGGTATGCTTTTGGAAGCAGGCAAGATGAAAAATGAACAAATGCTTTCGCCGGGAATCGAATCACGGACCTCTGGAATACCGGCCCAGCATGCAAAACCATTACACCACGAAAGCACGCTAGAAAATAGAGAGAATAACCTTATATACTCCCTCTTTTAAAGGGCGACTGGGGTTTTTAGGGGACAAAATCGCCAAATCCTGGGTGTGGAGAATCCTCATCCAACACTCTTCTAGTTCGTGCGCCACTGTAGAGACATTATGTATCTTTAAAACACGCAAGATGAAAAATTACGAGCAGACGCCTTCGCCGGGAATCGAACCACGGACCTCTGGAATACCGGCCCAGCATGCAGAACCACTACACCACGAAGGCACGCTAGGAAAGTGGGAGAAATACCTTATATACTCCCCTTTTTAAAGGGCAACTGGGGTTTTTAGGGGACAAAATCGCCAAATCCTGGGTGTGGAGAATCCTCATCCAACACTCGTTTAGTTCGTGCGCCACTATAGAAACATTAGGTATCTTTGGAAACAGGCAAGATGAAAAATTAGCAAACGCCTTCGCCGGGAATCGAACCACGGACCTCTGGAATAACGGCCCAGCGTGCAGAACCACTACACCACAAAGGCACTACACACGAAGATAATTAGATAATAACCTTGTAACATTTCATGGCAACATCTAAAAAGTGTTTCAAACACTGAAGTGGCAGAGCGGAATAATGACAACTACCAAAGCTGGCAGTAAATTAACATGTAGCGTACAAGCGAGGACAGAAACATGCTCTGTCTCAAACTCCGAAAACCTCATTTAAAATACTGGCTACTTCATTCGCATTTTGGTGAAAAATACGGAAAGGAGAAGTTATAGTAAAGACCGAAATCATAAAAACTGGTTAATTTATATAATAACATTATAAATTAACCGTGAGCATCGTTCCTGATGCATTATAAAATCATTTTGCGAGGAAAGAATACAAAGACTGGATTTATGGTAGATATTCATTTCATAACTGAAGCCAATGCTTTGAAAAAATGTATACCTTATTATTTGCACGATGCTTACACATATTCATCAGAATAATACATTTAAATGAATATAACATACACTTATTAATTCTAGGAAGCAAAGTAGATGGCATCTCTTCTTCGCCCGATCCAGATCCTTCACGTGTCCTACCTAAAGACTTAAGCTTGCCTGTTCCTCCTTCCTTGACCGGAACTGATTTCCGATCCCTTGGATTGGGTCTTTGGCCTGGTGATATCCGTACTCATCCTCTTTTCTTCCCTTCCGCTTCATCAGCTTCGCTCTTACATCCACATCCACCAGTCACCACTTCTTCCATGCTTCACAGGTAAAATGAATTCCAAATTGCACTCATTGTTATAACTTTGTATCTGAGATTTTAAAGCTATTTTTGATTATTCAAGATTTTAGATTTGTTTTTATTTAAATGGAGAAATAGAAAATAAGACATTTCTTAAATTCCAGTAATTAAGTTTTCAGTTTTGTTTTAAAACAGATGAACTACTGTACTTTGCTAATTCGAAACGCATGTGCTCGAAACGTCAAGCACTAATAAACTAAGGAAATTAAGAGGTTATTTAAAAACCCAAATATACGTATCTCTGAGTCGAGCCAGCTGCCTCATCCCTTTTTTTTAGTAATTTATTACTTCGATTTTCTAAGAAAATATATATATGCCAAAGAACTCCACTTAGCGCAAGACCTTTGGAAACGGGCAACCCGAATGCATCATCCACGTATACGAACTCAAATTATATATTTTAGTGAAATTATATATTTAATTGATTGATGAAATTATATATTTTAGTACTTAATATTTAGAACTCACAGAAATAAATAAATAAATAAAAAGATATCTGAAACTGCAAAACAGTGATTTTTAGGAAAAGATGAAGCAGAGAAATTTAAAACTTTAAATAAAGTTTCCATAGAATCGATTATGTAATTTTTACGTTTTCTTTTAAAAAAATTCTATATATTTAAGTACTTTTTTTAAGTAAATTTTGCATTACATTTTATTAAGTATAATTGGCCATGAGTAAAAACTGGCTTCTTTAAACTCATGTTAACATAATCAAATGTTCCTCCTTTATTTTATATCATAAATTATATTTTATTGCGCAGCTGAACAATATATAATTTAATTGGCTTTCAATTAAAGAAAACTGAGTGTTTATAACATATTTAAAATAACTTTGCAAATTACGATAATTTAATTTTACTGTATTTCATTTCTGTAGTAAGCAAATATAAATTATTTTGATTTACCCTCGGAATGTTTAGGTATCAGTATGCAATGTTCGTTAGTTTTTGGCTTTTGATAACATGCTTGCGTAACAAGCGTTTTTAAATTTTGCATATGAAACACTGTTATAAAAAGCATTTTATTCTACGACTTGATATAAGTAAATATAATATCTAGATATAAAAATATAGTCTTAATACGTTCCGTGTTACTATGTTATTACCATTATTCTATATGTTTCATAAAAATCTGTTAAGGTTGCAAATAAAGTATGATTTCCGGTTTATGTCATATATAGTCAAATTCCTATACTCTGTTCACAGGCATGATTGTATATACTAATTTTAAACACCAAATATTATAAGTTTTGAATTGTACCATAATGGTTTTTCATAAAAATATGTTCAGAGCTTCAAATGTCCTTTCCAGTTTATACGTTTTAGGCAAGATCGTTTAAAATATCCGTAATGAGTGTATGTGAATAATTATAATAAATTTTAGCTTTTAAAGTTCCATGATGAAAATAAAATTTTCTGCAATACTGCTCTCAATTTTCCGACGAATTTTTAAAACATATCAATGTAATTAATAAATCGGTGCCCACAATTTTAGTTAACTTAATGCTTTAAAATATTACTAATGTAAATACTTCTAGATATAAAATTTTTGATTTAAATATAATCTTACTGCTGTTTCTAACATAAGTAGGTATGCACAAATACTTGATCATATGTTTCGTGATTATATGTTAGCATAAATAATAATCATCGATACCATTTCAACAATTTTTTTTTGTTTCCTATCATGGAAATTTATTACTTGACAGATTCAGATAAGTTTATATTTTTCTGTTGCATTTCTATATAGAATTCAAGGAAGTCCTCCACACGCTGTTATTCAGATTTCACATCTCCGGCGCAGAGAATTCCGAGTATTCTGAAGGATTCCCTTTACGTTTCGGACATTTCTAGTAGATATTGTTATGCGTGCAACCAGTACCTAGATGCTGTCATACAGAAGTGTTTTTATATGTCCCCAGAAGAAGTAATTACGGCATAATAGTTCAAACGACTGAGCAGGCTAATACACTGGAACATCATACTCGATTCACTGCTAGCCAGATGTAACGGCTCAGTGGTCCCGTTTCATTTAGAATTTAGAACCTGCATAACGACTAATAAACGCATAAAGTAAAATTAACCTAAATCATATTTAACTTAATTTTCGAAGAATAGTTTATGCATGATATCGTCACTTTTGTGTCCTTCTGGCTTGATGTTTTGCTCTTACTCTTTCTTTCTACAAATATATTACAAAAATGTTAACATACCAGTAAAACTAACTGCCCAAGAATGGGGGCCTGTCTTAAGCTGACGTAGCTTTGTGAGTCTACTTAAAGCATTGGTTTGTCAACAAACAAAATGAGACAAACCAGCCACTGTTGGAATTATTTCTTTATGAATCCACTTTCATTAGCTTCGTCAGTTGTTTCGGAACATGAGACAAAAGAAAATATGTCAGGACTACTTTAGTATCCTGACCTATTGCAGAGTCTTAGCCACTACCTGAGTTTATAGGATCTTACTCACTTTGCCACATAAACTCTACTAGATCCTACTAAAGAACCTAGCGATTTCTCGCACAGGCGTGAAATAATACCAGCACAGAAGAAGAATGAAAATGACCCTTTATTATTCTCAACTAAAATTAACAGAAAGGCATGTACTTCGTGCTTTACAATAACGCCGACAACTTGCGGTGGAATTAAGAATTTTAACACAATAAATTCAAACCTAAAAGATTAGTGTGCGCTACCTTCTAAACCGTTTACCAGTATATGAACATAGAAAATTTAACAAGCATCAATTGTATGACTTCATAATTGGATTTAGAGCATGGTTCAAACTTTGTGTCATTGCTCTATTAGTTTAAAACTTTCGTGATCAGAGTTTTATATACATAACTTTCAAAATATTAATATTATTTCTGAACTTTTCTTTTTCATCCTCAATAAATGTCTTATAATTGTTAGGAAGGAATTAAAAACAATGCACAGGGTATTTTAAAACCATTCATTACAATACGGCAGATGAAGTGAAACGATGTTACATAGCTCTTATTATTTCTCTTTTCGTTCCTTAACCTTTTCATTGCTCTAAACAATGCGCGAAATTAGCTACATTATTTAAGAGGTAAAATGCAAAGTCTAAAATGCCTTCTAAGTATTCATCTCCATTAAAATTACGTGAAATTTATTCTATTTTCTCACATTAAATTCAACGTCTTCTTAATGGTATCTTTTGCTTCCGTCTGAAGCGGTGAAGGCGAAAGATCGTGCCCAAATCAAATTAAACCGTTTCTGTCTCTGGAGGAGAGAAATGTTCAACTTTATAAATGCATGGGATGAGGCTCATTGTATTAAGTAGATGATTTGCATTTGTGTTTCTGAGACTCATAACTGAAAGGCTTTCAACATTCCAGATCCTCTTCTTCCCCAAGCGGTAATGGAATTCTTCCCGCCCACTATACGACGGCAGCGGAAATCTTCAGGCCGTTCCCGTCACTCGCTCACTGCGTATCTTTCCCCCTCTTGGGTATCGGCTCCGCCTATTCTGATGTGAAACAACTGCATCCGCACCATCATCTTCATAACCATTTCAAAGGTAAAAGATAATACTTTGTAATTTCTGTGACTTATAATAAACATACAACTGCTTTTGAATGGAAAGATGCATGTAAAAAGAGTTAGGAAATTGCCGTATTTTGTATCGAAATTTGTAAATTGTATCTGGAATATGTACTATATTTTCCAGGCTTATAAGGGGATATTTTAAGGTTAAAAAAATACGTCTAATAAAATTATAAACTGAATATAAAAATTAATAATGATCTCTACGTACTTTTGGTAGAGAAGTTAATTATTATATTTTTAATATATATTAATTATTATATATATTAATAATTAATATATTTTTAATGAAGGACTCTTTTCTCCCAAAAAAATTGTAAAATTAATATAAATGAATTCTGAAGAGAATTCTTCGGGGCTTCTGTGCGTACGTACCTACTTACGTACGTATGTATCTCGCATAACTAAAAAAATACGTATGTATCTCGCATATGTAACTCTGAATAGCCTCAAAACGTTGAAATTTTGTATATAGGACTGCTATAACATGTAGATGTGCACATCGTATTTTGGTTGCAATCGTCGGCCCTAAAAGTATATAAATATATGTATATATATATATATAGATATATATACATATATATATCCACTCTGTTACTGGGCTCAGTGATCTCAGTTTTATTATTCTTATATGTTTGTAAATTGTGCATTTTTCGCTTTAAAAATGATTGAATTATGTTGTTCTTATCTTCCAATTAAGGTTTTTATGCCCTTAGCAAATTTGTATGAAATAATTTTAGAATTATCAACAATTTAAAAGTTGTTTAAGCACTGCTAAGCCTAATAATTTTTTCCATGGCGGCCATTGCTTGTTTACATTTGAAACAGCAGAATAGCAGATCTGTTGCCAATCTAGAGAAAGTAAGCTTTGCAATAACAAAGATAACGCCTTCGTTTATTATTGCGAATTAAATCATGTTTAATCCATTCTGAAATTTATTCGAGGATATAAGTAATTAACATTTACTTCATAATTTTCAATACAGACATCTTGAGTTTTAATGTATTTTTACCTTGTCGCGAAGTGAGAACTGAATTAATTGAATGAGAAATAGTGAATCGTCTGTGAAAAACTATTTCTTTTTGTTGTTGTTGTTCTTTGCTTAATTTCTTTTATACACCGTTTTAGATTTGGTATAGTATTTGAATAGAACATGTGGCAACGATTAGAGAATTCTTAAGATGATATAAATTTTGTGAATTCTGAGTTCAAAAATGAACGAAATATAATGCTGTTAAGTGAACCTAGGGCCAGAGTGTTGCTATAGTAAACAAATATAGTCAATTTTAAAGAGTGCATTTATTCTATCGTGGTTTATGCGCTATCGACGAAGTAGATTTAATTCAATCCAATAAGTTTAAATGAAATGCAAGAAAAATCCTTTCATTGCGTTTCCGTAAATCGAAGTCTTAAAACAGTTAGTGCTCTCAGCTGTTCTGCGGTCAAGGGCTAATCTCATCAGAAAACGAAATAACTAACGAGCGTTGATTCATACGCCTGTATGAAAGCATCTCCTTTCTGCACTGAAAAATGTGCAAGGAAAGTGACTTTACAGTAAAAGCATGTGGCAACTAATGGTAGATTCCCAAATCCTGTAAATCGTAAAATAATAAATACATAAAAATAGAGAAAGAGAGATTTAAAAAAATCGAAAATTTGAAAGTTTATGCTTTTTGCATTATTGAAAGTTTGATGTCTTTATTTTACAAAACATTAAGCATTTTACCTCAAATTTAAGTGAAGATCTGTTTGATTAATGTTCAATAGATACTCGATTAATAAAAAAGGTATTTTCATTAGAATTTCATTTGACTGGATCATCAGTTATAACGCTCCTGTTTACCTGAAAGCAATTTCTAAATTCTTAAAATAATTCTTCCCGTCTAACCATCTACACATGCTTCGAGTAGTAGCAATTTCGGAAGAAAAGTAAAAAAAATCGATATTACTCAAATACGGTTTGTCAAATTTGATTGAAAATTGAATTTAAGATGTACACTGCGCAAAAAGGAAAAACGTTGGATATTTCTGTATCTCCCGTTCTAGTGGGGCGCTTGACTAAAAATTCACATTGCGTTTTCCATGTCTTGAAGGAGCGGCTTAGGATATATATTAGATTGATATATAGCTTTGTTCTAAAATAGGTATTTTGACACAAAATTGGACTTTTTCTGAAATAACATACAATTGTTATCCATATTTCATTTCTACGAATACTCAAATTAGGCGTAGATATTAAATTTTCTAATTTTTGGTGAAACCTTTATCGAGGAATTTAAAAATTTATCTTGGCGAATTTTTTTCAGTTTGCGCCCTTGTCAGACTTCTTAATTTATAGCAACCTTTTTTCCTTTCCTTTTCCTTCATTGTCCATGAGCGGAAAAAAGTCATCGTTCATGCTTTCAAATAATTTTAACAAAGTTCTAAACTACATTTTCGTTATTATTGCTTATGATAAATATGCTAAATTTCAAAACGAACCAAAATGTAAATTCACGTATATCTTAGGAAATTTTGAAACTCTAATGTTTTGCAGGTATGCTTAGAAATACATCTACTTTAAGATTATGGCAAAACTTTTATAGGTTATAATTCCAAATGTTTTTCGAAAATTTTATAAAAATTATTTAAAAATACAAATTTAAAAACTAAATCATAAAAAATAGGCTAATTTTGTTTGGAATGAACCTAAATTTCGAAATATGAAAGGAAGAAACAAATAAGTTTAACAAAAAAAAGAGATACTATTAATAAATATATATCAAATTGAATTAACATTGAGGAGCTAAAATTTTGAAAGCTAATTTTTTAAAAATTACCCGTACGATTTTTACAAAGCTTGGCAGTTTGGCATAATTTGAGTCGTAGAATCGGAATATGGAAAACAATTGGCATGTCGTTTCAGAAAAAGTCCGATTTTTATGTCAAAGTACCTATATTAGAATAATGCTATATATAAATCTAATACATATCCTAAGTCGCGCTTTCGAGACATGAAAAATGCAAGTTGAATTTTGTCAATCGGCCCAGTAGAACGGGAGATATAGAACTGTCCCCCCCCTTTTTTTGCGCAGTGCACATGCATACAGACTCTTCATTACCTAATATCAGAGATTGCTAAGAGCAACCTTTTGCTAAAAATCATAGATTATTTACCAACATCAGTAATAATTTAAAATAAAATGTATTTTGATTAATTAGATTATTAACCTTCCTGTAAATGCTGGTATATATTTTATACTGCGAACATAGGATCTGATTAAGAAAATTTTACTAATGAATGTTTTTACTGATGGCCTTCATTCTTTTATTCAATTAAGATCTGAAAACAATTTTTGCTATGATTCTAGCTTTTGCGTGGTAAAAGCCATATTATTTCAATTATATTTACTATATATTTGTAGAACGAGAGACTTAATGCATGTCAATCTTTGAAAATCATGACATTATTATATATCAGAATATACTGATTTTTCTACGTTTTATTGCAGAAACTCTGTTGTGCTTTCCTTTCAGTATTTTCATTTAATTATATGCTTCACTGATAGTATACGCGAAAGAAACTTTTAGAACACTTTTTTGATACTTCACAGATGGGAGCCTTCTCTTGAGTCCGGGATCGAAAGCAACTTCTGTTCATCATCCCAGCGATGTGTACTCCTGTGTCAAATGTGACAAGATGTTCAGCACCCCCCATGGATTAGAAGTTCATTCCCGGAGGTCGCACAGTGGAAAGAGGCCTTTCGCCTGCGAACTCTGTAACAAAACTTTCGGCCACGAGGTAAGCTTGAGTCAGCACCGGGCCATCCATACAGCGGAGAGAACCTTCGAGTGCAAACAATGTGGAAAGACATTCAAAAGGTCATCTACGTTGTCTACTCATCTACTTATTCATTCCGATACTAGGCCTTACCCTTGCCAATATTGCGGAAAGAGGTTTCATCAAAAATCAGACATGAAGAAACATACCTATATACATACAGGTAAGCGTGAAGTTTTTTATAATTTTTCTTCTGAGAGAACTAAGGCATTAAGATTCAGAGTCCAGGTCTTTGCAACAATTAATTAAATATGTCAGTAACATTAACCATTCCTTGCAAATGGAGAATAATAAAAGTGCTTAAACTGTCATTGTATGACCAAGTTTTATAAAAATAGCAATATATGTTTGAATATAAATATATAAATGGTTTTGCTGAATATTATCCTTCAGACCCTGTATGCGGTTTCGTTAGTTACAAGTTACAAGGAACCCAGCAAAACAAGTAGAACAACAAAGAGTTTCTACAAGAAAATTAGAAAGAACACAATAACTTCTAAAATCAAATATTGAGAAATATTTGTACTGAAATAGGAAAGGATATGTGCGTGCAGGTATGGAGATTTTTCTTTGCATCCTTTCGGTAAATCTGTGTATATTTTACCGAATGTCAGCCACCGTTTATCTTGTAACTGAGCTGACAAAATATACACATCTTCAGAGGGAAAGCTTTGTTCTAGTTCATTTAGGCACTGAATACTTGTAAATTTCATGGAATGAATTTTAACACCTTTCGAAAATGTTCGAAAACTGTTGTGGAATCTGAGCTTCAGTATCTGCTATCTTTTTAGATTTTCTTGAGTTTCGTTCGAAAGGGCATCAAAAGCCCTTTAAATATACGTGCTCAAATGTACGTGGAAGTTTACGTTCAGATAAACTGCCCTTATTTTTAGAATTATTGTGTCAATCATAGGCAGATTTCATACTTGAAAATAATAAGCTTCTATGATTTGAACGAAATTCATATTAAGCATAATAATGGATTCCGTTTGGCTAATTCTGAAACAGAAAACTTCCCTATTACAGAGATGATCATTCTATATTCGACAGAAAATGATCACCTAGGACCCTCACAGAATGCTGGGACAAAATTTCATATATGCAACCAATACAAGTTACATCATGTTACTCTCACTATATTGTTCTATAAATTACTGAAATTCTTTATCCCTTTTATGAAATTCCTCCATTTTTTCATGATTCAGACCTATATAATCTAGGCGCTACTAAAATTATTAATTATACAAATTCTGTTTCTGAATTATAGCACTCCTATATTTTTGGATTAATTATACTAACTGCTGTACTTATGCATAATTTATTTTAATTTTAATAACATTTCAGTTTACAGTTTAAGTTATAATCTAAAGGTAATTCGACTGATCTGTGAGCTATTAAATGACAATTAAAGTGGTAGTGAGTTCATAATACATTTTAAAAGATCCCAACATACAGATAGATAACAGCTCAAGCTTCAGAATACTGTATTAAAATATATATTTTTTAAAATGTAAATTTTGATAGCGCAAAGATTACAGTATAAGTCATTTTCTCCCTCCTTTTCGCATGCCGTCGTGGTGTAACGGTAGCACTCGGCGTGTATTGGAGAGATCCAGCTTCGAGTCCCAGCGAGGGCATTGCACATTTTCAAGTCTCCAGCATCAAAATAACCAAATTTCTCTACATTACTATCCTGGAAAGTGCAAGAAATTACTATAACTGAAAACAAATAATTAAGTAAATAAATAGCAATAAAAAATAACCAGTTTGAATTAAAAGAATTCTTTTTTCAAATTAAAGGATTTTTTATTATACATTTATAACAAACTTCAGATTAATTATGCATAATTTAAAGTTTCAAACAGACTCATCAGGAATAATTATTTCAAACGTTAAACAAGAGCTATTAATGTGTTCTGAAAACGTGTTTCGTCCTTCGTGACCATTTGAGAGAAAAAAAGAATTGAAATTATGTACACAATAAAATTTTTTACAAAAGTATTTTACACCCCTTCATAAAGAGTCACGAATGTACCCTTAAACTATGAATAATTATTTTGCAGTTTGTCAAATGTTTCATAAAACAATTCCTTTAATTAAAAAATTATGAAAAGTTCTTTTAATCAAAATTGCTTAATTTTACTGCTATTTGTTTCCTTTACTAACAATTTTTGTACTTATGATAGTTCTTTGCATTTTCCCAGATATCCCAGATCTTTTTAATGCGGAAAACCTTCATTTGCAAAGTTAAATTTTCAATCTCAGCTACTTAAGCGCTGGTTTTCTAACTTAAAGTTCTTATTTTTAATTACTTTGTAAAAATATATATATTGTGCTCTATAATGATGTTTATCCTTGCAACTTTAAAATATGCTGTATCTTTTTATTTATACTTATCTTTATATTATATATATTTTATATGTTACTTATCTTTATTATATCTTACTTATCTTTAATATATTATTATTTATCTTTATATTATATCTTTTTATTTTATCTGTAATAAACTAAAAATTTTCTTTTGAGAGCAATTTTATTTAATATTCTTAGAATCAGAGATCGGTTAGGTTAGGTTATTTGAATAAGTCAAAGTACACTAGGGCCATCTGTCTAAGGAAAGATAAACATTTGTGGACGTTCTAAGAGAATCACTCTCGTATTTAAGTTCCGTATGGAGAAAACCAACGCACCATCCATGCACCTATCCCGTTCTCCTGGGTTCGAGCCCGCATTGAACTCTGAGTATTCAGCAACATTAAACTCTCGACCACTGATCTAGTGAATTAGAGATCGGAAATGCAGATGTGATCAAAGAAACTAATCAGGTTCATCCACGTTAGCTTCAAAAACCCTAAAAATCTAAACATTTTCATTTTTTTTTTTTTCGTAACATAAATTAAGCCCAAACTCGTAACAAAATTAGAGACAATGATTTCTGTGTCTAAAAGAAGTCTTAAGAAGGTTCTACATACCTTTCAGAACTTGAATATTCTTAGAACTTGAACATAAAATGCACTTCTCGTGCTTGGCAAGCTCAACCACTACTTGGGGTCAGATAATTTGACGTAACAGTCAGATTCAAATTGAAACCAAGTCTATTACTCAAAGACTACATAATTTGATTTAACGCGAATTTGGCTCTAGAGAATAACAATTTAAATGTCGGCATCTATAACGCAAAGCCAATGAATTACAATCTTAACAGAGGTAGCGAAACCTAGTAATGTGACTCTGACAGGCAGAAATAAGTTTTCTCTTATTATCCGAAAACATCAGCTTAAATAGTCTCAATTTGCATTCTCGTAGAGAAAGGGAAAGGAGAATTGACAGTAGGTTTAACTCATAAAATAACTGGATTTTCAAAATAATAGTAAAACTATAATTTAACACTACTTTAAAGTATATTAACAGCATTACAAGTAGTTTTCTAAGAACAGTGCTTTCTTCCTTTAAAATATGTAATAATTCTTTTTTATCATACTGCAATTTTCCAAGCTTTTGCCACATATGATTTGACTCGGAAAATGTTACATTAGATCGTTTCAACTGCAGATACATACATATTTGTTATCTTAATGAATTCATATAAAATTCAGAAATTTACCTCCTTCCATGTAGAAGGTTTTAATATAAGAACAAAAATTAATTAGCCAGAGCAAAATTAAATTGCGTCGAATGATCTCTCATATTAGCTGCCGATGTTGAGATTGTATTAAAAGGTTACGACTCCTGTAGTTTCCTTCTGTTGCCACGATGAATGGAGTAAACTTCGACAATTGTTTCCTCTGAGGAATTAACAGCCGATTCGTCGACACTGTTTTCCGAAATAAGTTCTCGGATTGGCATCGAGCGAAATCCGGGATAACTGGTGCGAACCTATTGCATATTCATTACCGAAGAGTCTCCTTTGTTATCTTCTGGACATTTATAATCTTAATAGCAAGCGCGGACTCCCCAGATGCCGCCGGAGACACACACCCGCCCTGATTAAACCCTGCAAGATCTTGGGCAGACATCATTTTCCATACAATCCCTGTACATCAGATTGCGAGGCGCCTAATTCAATTATTTGAAGTGCAGCTACGCGCCGGGTCCCAGAGGTCATATTAGCCAAGCGACTCTAGACGGATCCCAAAATCAAACGCTCCTCCCCGCCACCTCACCTCAGCTCCACCCCCACCACCGCCCCACCGTGGACGCGCGCACGCTCATGCTAAAATTTAATACACGGCCGTTTTAGCGTGGCCGACAAAATTGTATTACATGTCTACAAATCCCTGGAGCCTTGCCGTGAGAAGAGGTACACAGGCAAAAGAATGGTATTTTTTCCTCTCTCCCTATCTCTCTCTTCCTTCTGCGTGCTTCCGAAGTACGGAAGCGTCGGAAGTAGTAGTAGAAAGTGGTAGCGGTGGTGGTGGGGTTTTGTCGGGATAATGAGGGGTCATTACCGGGAATTTAATCTTTCATTAACCTAAATGAGCGTGCTGGAGTCATCGCAGAATCTGTTTGGACGTTCAAGGAGGGTCAAAAGTATTGACTTTTGCAGCCTCCGCCGATAAAAAACAATTAGGTTTATTCCATGCTTCCGGCAAATGACATTAGGCCGGCGTTAAGTGGTGAAAGGCATTTCCACGCTATTAGAAGCATCCATTAGCAGTCCAATTTTTTTGTTCTTCTTGCTTTTTAATTCAGAGATAGTGGACTTTGATCTTACTAGAGATTTTGTAATGGGGTCGGACACTTGCGAGGGATTCAACGCCGGCTCGGTAATTGAAATTAATGAGGTCGAAAATGCTTTGCTGTGTGCATTAAGAGCCCCTGCTGACATAAGAATAAAATCGTTTATTCGCGATTGAGTTTTGCTGGCACGGCTTCAGTGTATCAGGATATCATTAATTAAACGATATGATAATCGCATCCGGTTACTGATGGCTGAAATTCTCTTTACATATCAATTAACACTACTTTTATTTTCCAATATTCAACATTTTAAATCAGAAACATTTTGGATGTATATGTAAGCGGAAATTATTAATTATTTTTGGTTACATTAATAAAATTTCCTGAAGGTATATTTCTTTCGATTCTGAGATATTGATATTTACTGAGAATATTACAATACTGTTTTTGAGCTACCGCAGTTTGTAGTATTTTATTAAAAAA